AAATCATCTGTGCTGATCTGATTTGCGGGAATGAGGGCTTCTGCGACGATGTATCCGGTCCATTGGTTGAGAAGGTCCGTCTGTAGAAAGTGGTGAATGTATGAGGAACGCGGTCATGGTGAGCACTGACATATTGGGTGATCAAGGACATGTCATAAGATTTCTGAGTGTAACTCAAGACCATAATAAGCATATTGCCGCATTCTGAAAGCATAGGCGCTGAGAAATCGAGTTATGTACATAGAAAGTGAAATCACCTTCGAGAGGCATGGCTTCATCGTTACCAGCATTGTGGCCCGTAGCGTTGGGGTACGATTTACCTAATTCATAATAAGAGGAATTAGGGAATCTCAGCAATTCTTCGTAGAAGACAAACCAAGATCGTGAGCAGCCCAAGCGTTGGGATATTGACCGGTAGCTTGGTACTCAAGGAGGCCGAGCAGTAGATACCTTCCAAGTGGAGGATTGGTGTACAAGAGAATAGGCCACGCAGGCATCATGACATCCACAGTGTTCACGTTCTGCAGTTGCAAAGGTGAGCAACCCACAGCTCCAAAGCGTATCACCTACGCCATCACTAGAGATCTCTGGAGTTTTCATGTCAGACAACTATTTTTGGTTGAAAGCAGCCATATATTACCCTTCAAGAATATCAAGATATCATCTGCGTTCCAACTTCCATCACTTTTCTTCGACAACGTGATCTCCAGGGCTCCGAAGGCCTGACGAACCGACAGCGCAACGACAGCAGCATAATTACTCGAAATGGCCGAGGCATCGCTCTGAACCTTCAGGTCGAACGCTTGCGCGCGTCCGAGAGCAGCGGAGTAGTCCCCAACGAAGTCAGAAATCTGGAACATGACTTCCAAAACTAGCGCTAAAGCAGAAAAGACTAGGGACGCACCAAGTCCGCGACGCTTGAGTAAGCGCTCCAGAAGTAAATACTTCTTGGTTGGTAGACATCGTTCGCGACGATGTACTGGATTGCCGGATCTCTCACATGACCCACAGTGTAGATTACAGGGACAGATGCAGTGGTCGACACGGTGCCAAGGTCGTGAGCGAAAGCAAAGACCGGCCAATCGTTGTTGACGGCACGAAAATTGATGTCCTCAATGTTGGCAAGAACACCGTTTTTGATGAATTGAGCTCGAACAATGGCGTCTTGGCCAGTTTGGTACGTCACAGAGGAAGACTGAAGAAGAAATTAGCATGAGAATGGAAACTGAGTGACAAAGATACATACATTCTGAGTAGAGTAATAGGCTGCACCCTCTATAAAGAACGATCTGAGTCAGTTAGCCAGTAAGCTGTACTCGTCACTCACGTTGAATATGATCATTATATTCAGCATACAACTCCTGGTTCTCAAGCATGACCTGATGAGTCAAGATGTTGCCGGTAGTAGTGGTCCAGTTGACCGTCAGAGAGTCATCTCCAGATACCCATTCTGCGCTTATGTCGGTGTATACGCTGACGGTATGCGACCTTCCATCATTAGACACTGCGGACAGTGCCAAATACGAGAAGGGGATGGACTGCTTAAGGAAGTCTGTGGGCTAACAATGACTTGCTATAATGTAAAGGCAAAAGACACCATATATACCTCTACAGGGCTAAGGAAGTTCACGTTTATGTCCACCGGCCCGGCAGTCATCACGAAAATACTTTGCATTGAAGTGAACTGTATCATGTATAAGTGTGTTCTCATGTATACGATCAAACCACAATCACCTCCAGGCTTTTTTGGACGGCAGATTTAGCGCCTGGAACAGCGGGATCACCCAGAAAGGTATACGTGGCACCATCAACTCTGATATAACCAGCCCATCCGAGAGTCTGCACAACGTCTTAGTCAATGTTCAAATGTGTATAATGAAAAAAGCTCACCGATCCAGTCCAAAACTGGGGCCAGGCACCGTTCAGCGCTGTACCAGCACCTTGTGGCAACCATACAGACAGGTAAGGTGTCCGAACTGCAAGTGGGACGGATGGGGGATTGAAAGGAGTTGCATTCCAAGAGACAGAAGAAGCGCTAAGCGCTAATGTAGCTAATGAGAGAAACTTTGTGCCCATGATAAGTAATGGGTACACAAATGAGATGGTGGAGATCATCATCAAGGTCTCCGCCTGATCGCAATCCACCATTTTATATGCAGCGCGACCCTAAATTCAATGTAAGCGATGGTTGCTTCGAATCATCATGACTTACTAAAAACAGACCATCTCTACTCAACGATCCCCGAGCCAGCGCACAGCATGCGGCACCGACGATTAAGCATATGTTCTGCCACTCCATAAGGGCTTTACGTCAAAATCCACACTTTAGAGTAGTCACGAGTCTAACTCACATTAGTCTTCTACACTATAGTCCTTTTCAAGCCATTAGTTGTGCTCTCCAGCGAATTCGAGTAACACCGCCACCTCCGGGGTATCTTAGGAAGTTGGGAGTTCATATCTGCAATGTCAAGTACGAAGAAGTCAACGTCAACTTCGTTTTCCGGAGCATCCTGCGAACAGAAGCCATAACGACGGTCCCTGCGATTCATTCCTGTGTATTCTCACCGCTAACAATTTACCGGATGAGAAACGCACAGGAAGAACCGCAGAGGGATATCTTCAAGATAAATCGATCAGGGTTGCGCAACCCAGTTAGAAGCAACACATCACAAACAAACCTGTCCAGCTGGGCTCTCGTAGCATACCTCGTGCAATCGATAATCAAACGATAACTGTACCGGCGCAGAATGCCACCGCATAGATGATGATGATCGTGAGATGCAGACTTGCAACGTAGCCCAGCCACCGCTGTTTACGTCATGTGACCTCAGACCCAAAGAGGCGCGCAAACGGTCTTGTGGCACACGGCACCCTTCTCATAGCGAACCTTCCGCAGGCTGGTTAACTTGTCCGTGCACTCAAGCACTGTTAATGGACCTCCCTACATCCAGGGAACTAGACCTTGAGACCGAGCTCAGAAAACGGGATGCTCAGGTCGCTGAACTTACAGTAAGGTGTTCCCTTTCCAGGCGCCGATTGTCGCGCACTGTTTGTTGTATTGATAGGCTCGGTCTTGTCTTGTCTAGGATGAAGTTACACGTCTTCGTGAACATCTTGCTGCGCAGGGTGGCGCATCAACCACCGACTCGGTTACGTTGCCCCCTGCGCTAGTCTCTGTGTTGTTACCGCATATCAACAAGGCGGCTTCTAGTGAAGGAACAGGAGTGGCTTCTTCGTCGAGTACAGTTAACACCGCGCTAACGCAGAGGGTGCGTATACTGCAAGAGGAGAACGATGAACTGTATGAAATGCTCAAGTCCGGGGAGACTGGGCAGCTTAAGGAGGAAGTTCGCGGACTCCGACGAGTTGTGGAGAGATTAGAAGGGGCTTTGCGAGGTATGCGTTTTATTGTCTCTTTTTCTTTTAACTGTCTCTTACGTGCAGCATGTTTTATTAGAATCTCATCAAGTAATCGCTTCACTGTCGTGAGTGACCTCATAGGTTATGTGTATCTTCACTGACGCCTAGATACTACAGGTCGGAACTAGACAAGTCCTATGAGAGCTTCCAGACTTCTGTGCGTCAAATGAACGCTAACCATCATTCATACGCGCCTGCCCCTCGTGAATTATATCACCCTGCATCCACGAGCAATGGGGTAATCAAACTGCCTCCAACCGGACCGAGAGCACACAAGAAGCCACGTCTCTCAGAGCCCAAAGTGTCACCCGCGCGATCCAACATTTCTCTTCCACCCACAAAACCCCACATTGGCAATGCACGCCAGAGTATTCCCAGAGACTACGAGGCTGTTCGCTCGCCTCGCCTATCCCCCACAGAGCCCCGTATAAAAGTAAGCAATGTGAAGATGGAGGTTGATGAAGATGCGCGGACACGTCCACGCTCTCCAAATGATAATAGGGACCGGGAGACGCACCGGCGGGACAAAGACCGGGCACGCGACCACGAGGGAGAGCATGGTAGAGATAGGGACCGAGACCGTTTTGCGCGGCGGAACGGTGGTGGTAGTGGTGGCGGAGGGGGACGGAGGGCTCGAGGGTTTGCAAGTCATGCGTACGCATTTGGAGATCGGACGTTGGCGGAAAGAATGGGACTTTGACCAAACATTGACATTCATGATCACTGCATCTTTGAACCTTGAAAAACATGTTTTCATCATAGTGTATTTGGTGCGGTTCTCAATCAAATCGAAAAGAATTGTATCGATAGCTGACTTGACTCTTTTTCCTCCTTGTTCGCTACAGCTGTAGCTGTATCCCTACATGTTCCAATCTCTGTTGTTGCAAGACTATGCGCAGATGGTGATTGGTATTATTTAAAGTTTTTTCGTTTCCAGGCTGTATTTTGCGGTGCATAGGCGTCATGTACTTCGGTTGGGCGCCGCTTACACATTGAGCTTAGTGGCTCGTCATCGGTTGCTTCGCTTCGGAGAACCACAAAATAAATATCATTTTTCTTGAGTCAAAGACACATTGATTAGTAATGAAAGGGGGAAGTATCGTCATCGAGGTGACTTTAAAAGTGACGTGTAATTTACATTTGAATTTTGCACTGGACGCTGTTATCGGTCTCATATGCTTCATTTCCTCACAATCAGCGCATCTGATCATATCCGTGCCCGACGCACCAAACCAAGAACAGCTGCATAGCCCATGGATTGCGCTTCCGTAATGATATCTGAAAATAAAATTTCGTCTTGCCTCGTTGCACGTCCGCGTCGATGAGAGTGGCGCCTTCTACTTTCTGTGGAAAAGTCTTGGGACGTCATAAGGCAACGTTATCTGACCGAATGGATGTTCCTTCCGAGTAAGGCACTGGTCAGCAGGTCCGTAAGGGGACGCTAAAACCTTTATATTTGATTTTAGGTGCTGTGGCGGAGTGATGCGCGCCGGGTGGAGGGTCGTGTGATCGATACGGTGGCAGTCTTGAACCGAATTGTCGTACACATGAAAAATTTCGAACTACATTGGTACGTACGTGTTTCCCGAGACCTTCGGATTAGGGGAACTTCAAACACAGTTTGATATTTGTAGCAGTAAGCATTACGAGTGTTGGAACACGGTCGAGAACATATTATGGTACTGGTTGTAGTGAGTGGTACTGATGAGCGTATAGTAAGTACGTTTTGTGAGTATTACAAAAGTGAGCGTGGGGCTGTATACTAGAAAGAACGAAAAAGGTGCATCGGGCGCATTAAGGCGCGGGTGGTGAGCATAAAAGAAGAATAAATATTAAAGAAAGAATATACGGATATGTGCAAGGAAGGTCGTTGGCAAGCGGTGTCGTCCCAATGATGTTAAGTTGTGTGTACAATGATGGCACAAGACGCAGCTGGTGCAGCCTTATTTAAGGTTCATCAAGATAGAAGCTCGGTGATGCGGTCATGCGTCGTGCACGGTCAGACTCGGCAGTCTCTGCGAGGAGTATTATGCATGGTGAAAAACTGCATGCAGGTGACTGCGCCAGGAGCCTGAGGAGATGATTCACAGCGTGACCTGGAGAGGTCAAAGACAGGGAGGTGTGCGGGAGCAGTGGCTCGTTTATTAGGTATTGACCGCACGACGGACCTCTTGTCGGTCGGGCTGAGCATGAATGTTGGGATAGGAGGAACTGGCGGTGGCGGAGACGCGATGGTAGGGCTAGGTGGCGGGGAGCGATAACGGGTTAATGAATGACCGAAGCTGCACCTTGTAGTGCGAGTTGGAGAAGGAGAGTTGGATGATGAAATAGGGAGTGATGATAATGATGAGTTACTTCTCCTTCCCAAAGCACGTTTACGAGCGCCGAAATCATCGTCTTCACCAAAGAGACCCTCCTTTGCCTTTCTGTCTAAGCGGTCATATGACCTGGACGCGTTTAGAGTATTCTGCAAAAGTGGCGAGCCTATAAGGCGAGGGGGAATTGGAGGGGAATTGTTTGCAGGAATGGTCAAACGAGAGATTCGATGAATGGGGGGTGGTGAGGGTAAAGGAGTTGGTACGAGCTCAGGGGAAGGCATCGGAGGAGGAGGAGATTGAGAACGACGAGAAAAGGACATGGCGATGATGGTGGTGGATGGGCGTACATTTTATTGAGGTGGTTTTTATATAAAAAGGTGTTTACAAGTTGTTCCGAAAGATTCGAATGCAGTCCGAGTCACGAACGTAATTGGTTTACCATTGAGCCGGTGTGACATGCCCAAGTGGGGATAACATACTCCGAACCACTTATTACCGAATATACTGAGTCAGTTACCGCTCAACGTGTTTTCGAAAGCGAGTTGGCTTTGACGTGCACTAGTCATATCTCGGTATGAATGGACAATGCAGGTCTACGCCACCCCGGACTACTACAAAGCAAGTCGGAGTATAATACAGCAAAGGCGTAGGACGCGTGGGATTGGAGTAATACTTGGAAACCAGGGTAAGCCACCAACAGGAGTTAAATACGTCAATATTAAAACAAATGTCTGACGTGTACACTGCCTCTCCTCGTACGGATCTTCCGAGTCCACACCGATTGATTGCAAACGATGATCCTCATAGTCTTAAGTGGTTCTCTAATTAAAACGCACTTCTTCGATTCGCATATTGTGCTCGTCGTCGACACCAATGATCATCATTGCCAACTCTGGCAGCATCAAATTAACTGAACGTGAAACGGCCCTAAGAAGAACCAGAAGCCTTTCGTCCAAATCAGGACTCCATTGTTCTATCCATCCATCCATCCATATCATCATTGTCCCCTCAATCCGGCCAATAATGAATACTAGTAACACTCTGATTTAACTCCTCGGAAGTGTGTCCTGAATCTTGTACCTGTGTCGACCCTCTACTTCTACCCCTCGGAACATAAACTCTACCGCCGCCATGCCGTGACAAATATACTATTCAACCACATGCCACTCTATTCCTCTGACGCCTCGTCCGAAGTGCTCACGCCTTCCTTTCAGCTTGTATATATCCTTGGTCGCCAGCTAACCGACCACGAGTTAACACTGATTCGCGTCCATAGTAACTAGCACTTCCCGCTCCTCTTATTCCGCGGTTTCAAATTTAGCAATAACCCTGCAGGTCCACCACCTTTTGCCGCCGGGTGATCTCGTGAAGTAGTACGTCCACGTCAACCCTTTTGTATTTCACCTTCGATGCTGAACCTCATTAGTGTGTGGCGCAGGACTTTCGGTGCAGTCCGAGTCAATGAGTCACCTTGCCGCTGACTTGCTGGATGAAGTCTTCAGCCAATAAACGCGAGTTCTAAACACCATGTGCGACGCGGTAGTACGTCCATGTTCACTTGTGATGCAGTCAAGATGAGTCTAGATGTCAGCCCCACTTTGAATCGTGCACTCTGTTCTTGTGCGCCGCTGCAGTCGCAAATTCGACGTCAGCCCCAGTGGCTGACACCAACCTAAGAACGAGTACATCTACCTTGCATGTCCTCTCATGATTGACATTCGTCTTCTCTACGTTTTCACCATGTTATCCTGCATGTTCGCAATGTTCTCTCTCCTTCCTCTCCTTACCCTTTCCGCTCCTTCAGTCCAGTTATCTTCTAGCTATGGAAAATCAACGAACCTGGCAACCCATTCCCAAGTCGGACGCAACATTCCAGGCACCCTCGTCATGACCTACTTTGTTGACTGGGCGCCCCGCGCCAACATGAACTTTGCACTATTCGATTGCATCGACTTTGCGTTTGCTCTCCCAGACGCAGATTTCAAACTCGTTTTTGATTCGCCTGACGCGTCTACCTTACTCCGCAACCTCGTGTCGGATGCACATGCTGCATCGACGTTGGTCAAGATTAGTATTGGGGGATGGACAGGCAGTCAGTAAGTAGTACCCCTGACTTGCTTCCACCGTGTCACTCATAGAATTTAAGCTATTTCTCGCGGGCGGTGTCTACACCAGCCAATAGGAACACCTTCGTCAACAATATCCTCAACACCTACACCGAATACAATCTCGATGGCGTCGACATCGATTGGGAGTACCCCGGGCAAGCAGGCAAACAAGGCAACACCCAAAGTCCAAGCGATGAAGAGAACATGCTCGAGTTCCTGAAACTTCTCAGGCTAAAGCTCCCCCTAGGAGCGAAAATATCAGCCGCTGTTCAGAACACTCCCTTCGCTGGCCCCGACGGTCAACCTATCAAGGACGCGTCTGGTTTTGGGAAGATAGTTGATTGGATCTTGCTCATGAATTACGACGATTTTCAAGGTCCATGTTCATTTGAAACGAACGATAGGAAATTACTGATGCATAGTAAAATTATAGCTGTAACCCCCCCTGGTCCGAACGCGCCCCTGTACGATGGGTGTGGAAATTCTACTCAGCCATCCCAGAACGCAGTAGCCGGGTACAACGCCTGGACAGCAGCAGGTTTCCCTGCGAACAAATTGGTTCTCGGCATCCCAGCATACGGCTATGTCAGCAACATAGGTGTAGACCACCTTCGACAACGCCGCTCTCCTGAAGCCCCACGTCTCCACCGCCTCGCTAAGCGCACCACTGTTAATTCTGATGACGACCATCAAATTCAGTTTCGAGACCTCGTGACCAAGGGCGTCCTGCAGCGTAATAATGACGGAACGTACGCCGCCGTGCCTTCAAGCGGCTTCCAGCGTTCCTGGGATCAGTGCTCCGCGACGCCCTTCTTGCATTCAGACGCGCAGACTATTCCGTACGACGATCCCGAGTCTCTCGCCATGAAAGGCGCGTTCGTAAAGAAGACGGGTATGCTTGGAGTCAACATGTTTGATGTGCACGGGGAAACAGACCAGTGGGATCTTATTACGGCGACGCGGAACGCTCTTTTTGGTGCACCATCCACTCCGGCATCTGAACCTGTTTCAGCTTTGACATCTTCCTCGGGTCCGCAGCCTGCGCCTTCAATCCCCGGGAATCAGCAAGCGCTGGGCGGACCCTTGGGATGAACGTGAAGAGACTGGCAGCGGTTGACTGCGGGTACCTTGGGGATTTGGGCATGGGATGCTGTGCGTGCGATTGGGTTTCTAGGAGGAATCGGGCGCTGCCGTGCTTGGCTGGGATGGGGTTCACATTGTCAATCAATGAAGATGGTACCTTTTTTTCATATCGCCCAACAAGTGACACGTTCTAGTCGTGAGGTATTATTAAGTTGGCAGAGCCATTTATATCGATGGCATCTGATTCTTTCTTGAAGCCAGAAGTTGATAACGGGGAAATGAAACGATAAATTTCCGTATGGGGGAATTATAGCTGTATACGATATGATATGGTAACGGACGAGTCCCTTGGTTATTCCCCCCCTACTAGCGCGAACTTTCACCCCGGTGGTCATTGAAAGAGCGATAGCGCTCAGTACGAGAGCGTGATTATCGTCTCCGATAGCGATTATAATATGCACAGCACCGATTGGATGGCGACGACGATGATGGGAGCAGAATACTCGGGAAGTGGAAGTGGTGTTTCCCGGTGCGTAAAATGAATGCGATAGACGCATTATATTGAGGGCCACGAACTAGTAGCGCGACTCTATGTCTACGGACCCGGGTTCCTATACCGCGACGGACCGGCGATAAGAAAATGCCGCAAGCCAAATTCATATGGCACTTAAAATCTTCTTCAACCCTTTGAAGGAGCCGGAGCTCTGGGCGGTGCCAGTGGTGCGCCCATTCAAGTTGGTGGAACCGAAGACCTTTCGAAGGTCTTCGCACATGACGTGGTCATCACGGGGCGACTGCGCATGACCAAAGAGGACAAATACGTTGGTAGAAGCAGGACCAGAAGGGAAGACGGAGAAGTGAGTGTTTTTGTTGGAAGCCATTTAATATCCCGTTAATGCGTACGAGAGAGAGAACGGTGTGAGTTAGGTATGTTGCTCGGGGGGAATCATGTTCGAGTTCTAGCTGCTTAAGTACTTTGACTTCAAACCTTGCCTTGTCGGTTGCTGCTGCTCTGGCGACCGGGTGAGACTCGGACAAGGACGAGGAAGAAAGCAAGCAATCAGATGCGGTGCTAATAATTGCCTTATTCGTCTTTGGGACCTACGAACATACCTTGAACTGGAACACTCTATTGTCAATATTTGCTTGCGCGCAGCACGCGGTATGTGTTCACGCGTAGCTTGTCGCCTACTGCTGATAAATTGAACCGAAATCCTCAGTTGACTGATTCGCAGGCCCCCAATTGATTCTAATGCCGGTGCGCCTCTACGCATATGATTTATCGGAGACCTATTATATTAGGCTCTCTCCGGCATATTTGAATAGATCGATTGACGGAGAAAGCCTTGTCTTTAGCAGGAAGCATTGAAACAACTGTCGCTGTCAGCGAGTGTTTGATCTGCCTAACAACCGCTCGGAAAGTAACGGAAACAAGGTCCTCAATGAATACCTCTCCATCGCGATAAACCGATTAGCGTATCGCAAGCAACCGTTATGTCGTACCTCCCACCCTCAACCCTACCCGGCACGCCCCTCCTGCTATCCCTCAACCCCAATAACCTAACATCATCCTCCAATTCCGGCTTTTGATAGACATTAATCCATGGACTCAACCAATCGGTGTCCGCGCCGTCATCATACCCAACTCCCCTTCTGATCATGGCCTCCCTCATAGCCTTTGTCAGATACTCCTGCACGCCCTCAGCATAATCCGTAGGGGTTCTATCCAACACCTTCCTCCTCATCAACCGAATGTCGTCATCCAGAGCCAATAAATCTGGCGGTGAAAGTTGGAGTAAGTCACGCAGGTTTGCACCACCGATGGTTGCTTGTGCGGGTATCGTGTTGGAACCCCGAGCTAGCTCTGTTTCTAGCCGGCATATGACACCAGTCAACAGAGTTACTTCGCGTTCCTTTCGCTGAGCCTCGAGGGAGAGTCTTTCAACGTCGCTTCTTAGACGTTGTAATTCATTGTTAAAGGTGGGTTCCATTATCATGTTTTCGGATGGATCTGAGAATACTAGGGCTACGAGTTAGTCCATGTAAGTACGAAGTAGCGGAATATACACACTCAACGCTGAGGTGGAATACGAGATGGTATTGCGATAACCAACTGATGGATCCATCGATCGCGCGTTATTTATCTTCGATGTAACTTTAATGAAGAGACGCCCAACAAACAGCAACAATCTGTGGTCAATACATTATATTCTCTAACATATCAGTAAGGATGAAACGTACGGAATGGTTGATCCTCTGGTGATATTCCCTCTCAGCGTCCATTCGAATATGTGTGCGGGTTATGGTTACAGTATTACACTCGACTACCCGTTGTGTCCAAGCATCGAGATTGATATTGATATCAGCTACAGACTCGACTCTGTTGATCAGCATGCGCTCTAGATCGTCAATTATTCACTCGTCGACCAGTTTCATTCCCCTGATACTTTCCACTGTGTACCCGTCTGTGAACCCAGGTCTACCGCATTTGTTGGGCTTAAATTATCTCCTCCGGAAGAGAGGTTCGCTGAATGGAAGTCGGTAGAAGAGGTGGGCATGGTCCAGGTTGACTTCCCAATAATACCGGATGAACCAGTTGGCTACATTGATCGTCAATACCTACAGGCCGTATACTTGTAGTACTGGCTCTACTCCCCAATGCAGATGTTGCTTCACTGGTGACAGAACGGAGGGAGGTATCTTTGCATGCGCTGAAGACTTTGAGATTAAATCTCTGGGCTCTGTCAGGGTGAAGTCGCCAAAACTGGGTGGCTTGTTTCAATAACGCAATACTTGGGCAGATCCAATGTCCATCACGAAGTCACTATTTGCTTCTGGAACATACACGAACAAACACGAGCAAATACGTCCTGGATAAAATTTGAAAATTTTCTGTCGCATATCGATCAACCTACTCTGTCTACGGCGGAAGATGCAACTGGCGCCAATGGTGAGTTCACAGTTACATGTATCCCTCTTCTCTTGTTTCTGCGGTGGTGATGACATATTTATTCACACTGTATGAATCTGTGCGTCTATCGGATGCATGGATTGTGAGTTTTTCTACAACGGTAGCTGAGCCGCTTTTACTCCGTCAAATTTGCTCTACCAAGACGTATCACTAACAATAATTCTCAGGTACCCTTTGGATTGCTCACGATATCAAACATCAGTGATCGGCTGTCATAAATGCCACCCGCTACTAACAGCTTTGCACCGCATTTGATGGCCATGTCCCTAGACCCTATATACCCATGCTGTATTATTACTGTTCGAAGGATATTGTTATTGTTATCGATGCGTGTACTGAGGTGATATTTCAATTCGGTGGCACCCCCGTCTCGTATGACCATGCTATTGGGTTTCAACTTCTGAAGGGTCCAGGGCAGCTTCGCCATCAAAAGCGTCCTTGGGAACTTGGCCTTGCATCTGCGTAAGGGCTCCCCTGAGGATATACAGATATGGACCAGATTTGACAGGAGGCGGGGTAGTTTGATATCCGACCAATAAGTTGCACCGCGGACATGAGAATCTGTACTGGCGCTCATGTCCCTCTGGCCTGCACCTTCCAATCAGTCCCACCCATCATGGATCCAATTTGTTCGTACCTTTCGACTAGAACGGGATCCGTCAATATGGCGTTTAATTTGAGAACGATGGCATTTTCTGTACCGCTATCCTGGCAGCGAATGATGGTAGCACCATCCGTCTGGCGCTTTGGGAGCGCTGAAAGGCTTCTTTCGATTACGAGCTGTCATGTATCTTGCGTAAGTTCGTGACAGGAGTGCCGAGCCTGACTGAAAACGCGCACGATGAACTCGCCACAGATACAGTCTGTGCAAGGGACGCAGGTGAACTAATGCGGCCAACGTTGGCGTAGTACGGTACTCACAGTACACCCTGAGAGCGGCTGCGGCTGATGCCGTTGGCCGTGCTAAGAAAATGAGCAACTGATGGATCAGATAGTAATTGGAATGATGTGACTGACCATCCGTGGATGAGGAGACCGCTGAACGAGAGACAACCTTTGGCATGATTGATGTGTCACCAGAAACTCCTCGGACAGATACGCCGTATGTGGTCGAGACTAGTCTCGGATCTCGTTAGAACAAACTCCTGGGAGTTGGCAAGATGTTAGGTAGGCACACTTTTGAAGATAGCAGACAAAGTCAAAGTCATATGGTCACGTGGGGCAGCCGTCGTAATTAACTTCAATTGTTTCTATCTCCCTCATTCTTTCACCCGACCGTCAACTGCTCTGTACATGGCAGAAAAAGATGCTACCGTACGCCTCCGTAGAGCGGTCAAAGGTTTTTCATTTTACCGGTATCAGTCTGTCGCTTTTAATGATCCCCATATCTACAGAGAACAATCTCTTCCTCGTCAAGAGACTCATTCAACGAACTGACATGCGGAATCCTGACCCCGGTCCAAAACGCTACACATCATTAGCTTGGGCCGCTGTCTTGGGACATGAGGAGACGTTCGAGTTTTTACTTACAGCTGGGCATGACGATGAAGAACTCAGCAGGGTACGCGCTCGCCACAAGTGTTGTCCCTCAGAGGTTTTGACCACGTCATCTATCAGGAATCCGAGAACAACACCATTCTCATGCTATTGGCCGATTTCAAGTCTCCACCACCTAACCCTTACGCGCCAGGTCCCTCGCAGGTTGATCTCATGGGTGCTGCGCTTCGCATGGCAAGACTTTACTACGAACGTTACCCGTGGATTCTTGATTGGTCCAACGTACAAGGGAAAACAGCGCTGCACATGGCTGCTCTCAAAGGGAACGAGGAACTCGTTCGCGTGAGTCACCCGGGACCTCGATTATATCATGAGCTTGAGCTTATTTTATCTTGATGCCCTTCTCAAGATGCTGTGTGATTTGGGTGCTGACTTCGATCTGTCGGATAATAAAGGCAATACTCCTCTACATTAGTAAGTTTCTTCTAGTCATCGGGTCTTGGAATTTGACTAATCCCTATCAGTGCAAGTTCTTGGGGTCATATACCGGTACGTGGAGCACATCTGATCCATTGCAACGTTCTTTCTCGCTTACTTTTCAACCCCAGATTGTTCAACTTTTAATTGAACGAGGTTGTCAATTTGCTGCTCGAAACAATGACGGGTTTACTGCGTCCGATTACGCATATTCGTGAGCCTAGCACTTTTTCGTACCCATTACTAGGTTGTTAACGGTAATAAAGTTTTAGCACACGGGACACTTTGCAGGACTCTGCCCGTATGCAATTTGAAACTAATAAGAAATCTAGACGCATGGTGTTTGCACAAGCCGCTGCTCGAGGGAACGAATGGCCCATTGCCAGACCGCCGCCTATCCCATTAAAGCCACCCAGCGTCGGAAGGAACGCGTCTCGAATGCGAAGCAGCTCAGGTGGAAGTCGCACCACCACGACATCTGACAGCGGCGATGTAGACAGTGCTGGGCAAGGGCAAGGAACCAGTCTTTCATCTCTCTCAGCATGTTCGACAACGTCACAGCCATCGAGGTTACCCTCACATCAATATACCCATACTCATTCGCAGCGATCTGATAACATGTCCTCGGCCAGCAGTACAGGCACTTTCCCCTCCTCCCCGGGACCTTCGCAGGGGCTTACACTCAATCCACCTCTTGCGCAACCAAATTCACTGTCACCCATCGTGAACCGCATGCGTGAGCGAGATGCGGATGAGATAGAGAAGTACATGAGGAGAAATCGTAGCGGAAGTGCGGGAACAGCGTCGACGGACAATAAATCTCAAAATGGGAATAACTTCACTTCAGCTGGTCCTTCAGCAAACGGTGACGATATCACCGCACTGGCTTCTTTAACCATCACCGGATCCACGGCACCTCGAAAATCTCTCAGACCTTCATTTTCTGCTGCACAGCTCCGCACAACTGCATCTCCCCTTGCCGCGCAAACCCAGAACAGTCAAGCAGACGCTCTGAGAAATCGGTCTGGAACAAATCCGTCCAGCGCCCGTCCAGCACAAGCTGCACTTTCGCCAATTCCCATTCTCACACGCGCATCTTCCTCAGATACCTCTCAACACGAGGAGAAGTTGGTGGAGGGATCTGAGACATTTACCGGACCCCCCGTGCTATATGCGCAGTTCCCAGAACCACCTAAGAAAGGGGTCCGCATTGCATCATCAGCTACTGCTGCAGCCATAAGCCGGAGACTACCCAGTATCTTTTCGTCCAAGTCCTCACCTGCTCAGCCCCCTCCTACTCCCATCCTTGTCAATGACCCACCCCAAGGTGATCATAGCCATCGGAGAGGCTCTTCAGCAGCTTCTAGTCGCGGATAGCTGGGAGGATAGTCTTTTTGTTGTACTATTTTCATCTGTACTACATACACCTGGTTGTATGTTACACTGTTCAATTTTCGTATGGGATTAGTTTTCGTCTGGACATTTTTATACACCCGGCATTGTCTGTTTGCACTAGTACTGTAGCACAATTTATCTGTAGCGATTGCACGTCCTTACTCAAGTACTCATACATCAGACCCCAGATCTTAAGCTTCAGATTTGCCAAGGGTAAGACCGATGTTCGCTACCTTTGCTCGGAGAATGCCGATTACGAGTATTATTATAGCACTTACCTCGCCTGCTCTGCTTAAGGAGGTCTGCGCCTCTTTGCGTCCAGACTGCTGAACCTGATCAGCTTGGTAGTTCTACTTCGCTGTCTTTTATACCCTTGGTTTCCTCCTTGTCACCATCTCAAGCAGAAATATGACCATTGCATACAATCCTGACGCGGACCCCGACCCAACCACCCAGATAGCATGGCCAGCTAGCCACAGGTCGCGCACAACATCTTATTCTCAACAAGAAACGCAGTCTGTCGAACAAGAATCACACCAGGCGGTAGACGGAAACGGAAAGCAGACAGACAGGTCTGGCAAGCAACACGAAAGCGAACCCGGGCGAACACGCTTGACCACATGGAATCTCATTACTCTCAGTATATCCATGGCTGGCGCCCAAATCGCGTGGACGGTGGAGCTAGGGTCAGTTTCCAATGCTACTGGTTCGCCAAAAATATTAACATAGTACGCCCGCTAGATACGGAACTCCGTTTCTTTTGTCATTGGGGATATCAGAACAGGTTACCAGCCTGGTCTGGCTAGCTGGGCCTATCAGCGGTCTTATTGCACAACCTCTCATAGGTATGTTCTTTGAGATAGGGTTTGGGCAGTCAATTGAACAGTTCACAAGGTGCGATATCTGATTCGTCTACGTCGAAGTATCGGCGGAGATACTGGGTAGTCTTATCGACCGGTGCACTTGTCGTCTCAACGCTAGCGTTGGCGTATTGTCA